GATGACACAGCATTGATTGCTCGGCACCCCGAGCAGTTAAAGAAAGGAAGACATTCCTCATCAGAATCAGTGCGCACACTGCCTGTACCTAATGATCATCTACTGACAACATTGACAACAATCATGAGCTTTTGAGGTATAAATACACCTCACAAAAGGCAAAACGGTATGCAACAAAAAACTCTTTACTACGAAAGATATTCAGTGCTTTCTTCTTCTTCTCCCCTTCAAAAACTGACTTGATCGTTAGAGGGGATAAGCCGGAAAACACTCCGGCGCCCTTCTAACTTGTTCTCCTTTGTTCCAGGAACCTTTTCCCAGCCTTACTGGATCATTCCTTCAATTCACGAGGGCCTTACGTTACCGTTCCAGGTTACCACTGGACCTCGCAGTCTGTCCCAAGCAGCGTGGTTGATCACTCAACTGACTCACTCGAGTTTACCAAGAGAGAGAGATCTGTTCTCGTTTTTTATATTGTGCAAGATCCTGCACGCACATAATTCGTATTATGTCGTGTTAATTTCGGTCATGATATTCTTATATTAGGTCATTGTTGGTATGTGTTAATAAAAAATTATTGAATTTCACAACAATTAATATAATATTATTTTAAAAAATTAAAAAAAAAATATTTTTTGTCTACAATACTTGTTAAAGACTTATTTTTTATTTACAGTATCCGTTAATCGTGTTATTCGTGTCGAACTATAATTTAACTTATTTATTACCCGTCTTAATTAATCGTGTTATTTTTGAATTTTGTGTCAGATCAAATTCGTGTTCATCCTTAAAATTGAGACCCCTAGTCATAGGTAAGGTGTCCACCTAAGCTTACAACGATTTTGCTGCATTAAAATGACCAAATTAAAATAGGATGGAGAGTAGTATATGCATTAAAAATGTCCCAAAGGAGACCCAGTTTAAGAAACATATATTTAAAACAAGCAAAAAACATTGCATGTAGTGATCTGAATTATGCAAAAAACACACATGCTGTGTCTCAACTTACTTCCTTGTAAATTGATTTGATCCATTTTAAATTTGTGGCAGGGCATAAATAAAACTTATCTACTAAGTTTGATATGAAAGACTTGGGAGAAGCCTATGTGGTCTTGGGAATGAAAATAGAGAAAACATCAAATGGAATATCTCTAAGTCAGTCTAGCACCATAGAGAAAATGTTGAAAAAGTTTGGTTTTTATGATAGTAAATCTGTATCAACACCATATGATCCTCATGTACATTTGAAAAAAAATAAAGGAGAACCGATTTCACAATTAAAGTACTCACAAATGATTGGATCTTTATTATACATAGCAAATAAATTTAGACCTGATATCTCGTATGCCGTAGGGAAACTAAGTAGATATACACATAGTCCGAGTAAAGAGCATTGGGTTGCCTTAGAGAGAGTCTTTAAGTATCTTAAAGGAACCTTAGACTACTCTTTATGTTATAGTGGATTTCCTAGTGTAATTGAGGACTTTAGTGATGCAAATTGGATCACTGATAGTTTAGATATAAAATCTACTACTGGCTATGTCTTTCTGTTAGGAAGAGTAGCCATATCTTGGGGATCTAAAAAACAAACCCTAATATCAAGAAGTACTATGGAGTCGGAACTTATAGCCTTAGATACCACGTGTGCTGAGGCTGAGTGGATAAAAAATTTATTGCTAGAGATACCTCTAGTGGAAAAACTCAAACTTGCTATTTCATTACACTATGATAATAAGGCAGTGATTGAGCTTGTGAAGCAAAATCATNTTAGAGATACCTCTAGTGGAAAAACCCATACCTATCATTTTATTACACTGTGATAGTAAGGCAATGATTGAACTTTTGAAGCAAAATCATAATAACAAAAAGATAAATAGACATATACAAGTGAGATATAAATCAATAAAGAAAATGCTGAGTAAAAACATAATCTCACTAGACTTTGTGAAGTCTGAGCTAAATATAGCTGATCAACTAACTAAAGGGTTTTCGAGGAAAACTGTCTCAGAACTGTCGAGGGGGATGGGCTTATAAGCCCACAAGGGAGTCACCTAGGGAGGTAACCCAACTTCTGTGATTAGGGACCCCATGAAGGAAGTTCAATGGGTAGAAACAATTCATACTGCGTGATTCATTAGCACTGTTATTTAGGAAATATCCAAGGGGAGATATTTTCCTGCTCATCCCTATGCCAGAAGTGCATATGTAGTGTGACAGTAAGGAAGGGTTTTACCCTGAATGAGACCGAGGCAGGAACACTTCTGCAGGGTATTGTGCACATGTACCCTTGGAGGGCTCACCTAAGTGAGAGTAGTCGTGAGGCCGCGACTATGAGAATTGGGCTATTCTCTAGAAACTCTCATAAGAATTAAGATCAAGTACAAAACCATTAATAGCACTGACTCGCGAATCTTGACCAATATCGATACTGTATGTGTGACATGTTGAACTCTGGTCCAAAGGATCTAGTTCAAGTCTTTGGTCGCTATGATCCTTCAGAGGAAAACTGTTAACACTAAGTGAGGTTTAAATCTGGAAGACACCTACACCTATTGCGCAGTAGAACAATTATCCATATTTTCTACATATAAAATATTTGAAATATTTTGAAGTTTCAAAAACTTGTGGGAGATTGTAAAAATAAAAATTAAGTTTTTAAAACTTTTTAATTATGTTTAAATTATGAATTTCAGTTATAGTTCTTTTTCCCTATTTAGTGTATATATTAAAGAATAATAATTATTATTAGTTTTATAGGTATTCAAGGCAAATAATGAATAAAAATAAAAATCAGTTACACGTTACAGGCAAAAGGCCAAAGCCAAACGGTCAAATATTTAAAGTGGTTTTTGAAAGCCACGGGTTGTACAACGGCTATATAAAGGTGGATTTGAGAAATTTTTAGAGTGTACGAAATCAACACTTCCTGTTCCTCAGTAGACTTTCCAATAGCTCATATCATTCTTTTACACTTCGGCCTATTTTCCAATTCCTTCCTTTACACTTTGACCTACCTTTTTTATTCCTTTTTTTACACTCAACCTACTTTTCAATTATTATTTATTTCATTTTGGGCAACTCGATTTGAGTCAGGTTCATTCCAACCTTCCAGTGGACGTGACCATTGAGAAGGTGCTGCTGCGAGCGTCTGAGTTGGATCTTGGAGTCGCTGGTGTCTGTCAGTACCCTCACGTGGGGAGGCTCAGCTGCTTTAGGACAGTAATCACACACGCCTCTCGAACTCGCAGGCCAGCTCATTCCAAGTCTATTTATTTGGTTTATATAGATTGCATGTTTATATACTTTCTGTATTTATTTAAATAGCATGTTATATGATCTAAATATTGTTTGCATGTTTTATTTCGAGTTTTAGATTACAACACTCATAATTATATTACTCATATCATAATTCTAATAATTGTTAATTTACCCAAAAGTTTAGTAGCAATTTTTATTCATTCCAATTATAAATATATGCTTAAAATCTATAATTATTTTTTACATTCTATACCCACCACTTATTTAATTTTTTTTAAACATTAAATTTTATAATCCAATAATTTCTACAATTAATATTTTTGTTAGGATTGGGGGAAGAAATGGATGGCCATGCATCGCTAGGGGTGCAACTTTAACGGGTCAATCCGAACCTAACCCAAAAAAACAATATTAAGATTGAGATTTTAGAGTTAAGGTTGAAAAGTTTCAATCCGAAATGAATTCGGACAAGGCTTGGATTTACGGGTTCAACTTGAACCCAACCCAAATTTATGAGATTGGGCTCAATTCAAACCCAACTCGAGTTTAACCTGAATTCATATTATATTTATATAAATAATATATATAAATAAAATATAAATACATATTCTGTAAATATTATTATTATTATTTAAAGAAAGTAAAACATGATTTATAAAAACTATAGATGGAGAAATAAGTTTATACAAGACAATTCAAATGACCTCTTCCCTCTCCCTCGTGTAAAGAAGGTTCACAATTATATCCTTTATAAGTTGTCTTGATGAGTTTTATTTTAGTCGGCCATGTAGACCTATATAATAGTTCAACATTATGCAAAAGTTTGCACATAATTTAAGATTATTGTTTGTTGATCTCGATTTACCAACTTGAATTGAACCCAAATTAAGTAACCCGAATTCAATCCGAAGTTATCCGAAATCAATTCAAATAATACTCAAGATGAAATCAAATTAGGATTGAAAATTTTATCCCTCAAGTCGCCCAAGTTACACCCCCTCGGGGGGTTTTTCAAGTCAATAAAATTATGTATTTTAAATGAATTTACTAAATATTGTATATTAAATGATGTGGCAAAATTATGTACATTAAATATTTAGTGAGAATATGTAGGACCCACTAATCTAGCCACTTATGCTAATTTGGTTTACAAATTTTGATAAACAATTTAGTAAATATAATAATGCTATTTTCAAGCAAGTTAACAAATTTGGGTGACATAAAGGAGAAAAGTCCTTTTAAAGTCTCGGTCTCTTTTCTAAATCTTTAACGAACAACAAAGGTATCTTGCAAAGCTCAAAAGGGAGTATTAAAATTGGCTAAGAGATAGGCTTTCTAGAGAGCTGGTATTATGGGTGGGTTTATTTATTTATTTTTTTGGTTCAATGGGCAAGCATGTTTGAGTCAATTTATACGTATCTCGATTAATTCTCTCCATAATCTAGTCAAAAACAGACCTTCTACGTTAAGACTAGTATATTTATAAGAGATAAATTTTTAATTGTCTAATCCCAAAAAATTATCAAAATTCAAAATTAGAACGTTTAAATTTACAATTTGTCCTAATAATTATTTGAGCTACCTTCAAATTTGGGTGGATTTATTTCAAACCCACCCTTAGTCGGCTTTCTCAAGTTTTTTGGGTTCTGACTCAAGACAGATGAGAATTAAATAGAGGCTTAAAACTTAAAAAGCATTGAGAGGGTTGAGAGATATGAGATTTTCACCCACAAACGAAGCCCATTTAATAGAATAAGCCCAGGGGCATTGGAAAAGCAATCCACAGTTTTCAATCAATCGCAAGGAATGGCTTAAAATGAAGTACAATTGGGCCATTTTTAGGCCATGAAAAGCACAACGGAAGAAGCATTCTCAAACGTATTGGTTTACCTTAAATTTTCTTATTTGATTTTGCTGAGGTTTTTGTTTTGAAGAAGAATACCAGTGCACGAGTCAGGAGAAAATTAGGACTTAATCACCCCGAGCGTGGCTGGTTGAAGAGTGATTGAATGCTTGACAATTCCAAAATGGAGACTATGTTCACCCATAGGAATTCTTCGAATTCCCGATCTATCGACAACACTAAGGTACTTGCACACATGAATGTTGATATGAACTCGTTGCTGTGCCCTGGCGGCTACACTCACTTTCTCAAAGGCAACCAATTGTTTGTGTGGTGCCCAGTGTCTGGCAGGCGGTGTTGAAAACACTAGCAGTGTGTGAGAACCATCCTTAGAGCCCACATTCTTCACATCCACATGTACAGCAATTGAGAGTCCATTACATTTTGCATGTGTCACTCTAATTGCCTTGCCTGAGATGGTTGTGTTGGGACGATGATGACCGTCAATTGGAACTACGACAGTGGTGGGGGCATCAACAATAGTATGGACAAAGTTTGTGTAGCTCATTCCATGCCCAAATGGGTACACCACCGGGCCTTTGTAGAAGCGGTAGGTCCTGCCTGGATAGTCTTTTGAGGGGTTTGATCGCATATCCATTGTCGTCATAGGTACGCTAGCAAGGTACTCTTGAGGGTACCATGTCATGGGCAGCTTCCCTCCTGAGAGAACACAGAAAAATTGTTGTCACGCAATTAATAATAATTTTATTCTCTTTTGGGCATACTTGGTTCGGGCCATAACGTAGGATAAGAGTTTATGAGTCACAAGCACAGAGGTTGCAGTGGATATTGTCAACAATCTAGAAGACCGAATAGGATTTCAATTCTAAGATAATAGAAGCAATACCTGGATTATGTGCTCCAAATAGAACATCAGCAATAGCAGCTCCTCCAGCTTGGCCAGGGTATCCAACCCATAGAATGGCAGATATCCGTGGATCATTTTTGGCAAATGACACATCAACAGGTCCTCCACACATCAACACCAATATGGTTGGACCTCTCGAGGCCATAGCGATCTTAGATACAAGCTCTTGTTGGCGCCCAGGTAGGATGAGTCCCGCTCTATCTCTGAACTCTGCCTCTATAGATTGGTCGAGTCCCATCACTAGTACTGTTGCGTCCGCTTGATGTGCAGCGTCAATGGCTCCATCAAAGAGTTGATCACCAGTGCAAGCGATATTAGTGCAACCCTGTTGGTGAATTGTCCTGGCGTACCTTTTTATTCCTTGCAAAGGAGTAGTATATTCACATGCAATACCTAGTTTGTCAAACAGAAACAAAATGAAACGTATACTCTTAAGGGATTTTCATTGTCGATATGGGATTGATTTGGACAGACACGATTTATTGACTAGGCTTTGATATTTAAGTTTTGCTAATAAACATTTTTTTTTTTCAGTGGAGCTTTCAAATACATTTATTCAGAACGTTTTGGAATGTTTTGCTAATAAGCTTACCTGCATAGTTTCCGATCATTGTAACTGTGACATCTGAATTAGGCCCAATGACAGCAACTGTGCGGTGGCGTCGGGGGGACAAAGGTAGTGAAGGACCGTGATTTTTAAGAAGAACGACCCCTTGTCGAGCAGCATCGAGGGCTAGCTCTTGGTGAGCAGGGGTGCACACATCCCTCGGACCTAGGTTCCCAAAAAGTTGCGATGATGTTTCTCCGTCAAACATCCCCAGTCTCATTTGGACGGTAACAGTGTTAACTAAGGCGTCACTAATATCAGCCTCATTCAATATCCCTTTCTTTATAGCATCTCCTGTGTGTAACCCCAGGAAATCCCCACAATCCAAATCTAAACCTGTAAAGAGTGAAATTGTCTTCGTTAATGCACTCTATCTTGTGACAGAATGACAGAAAAAGATATGGTATTGCAAACCAACAATGCATCCTATCGTGGGCTGGGGGCAGCTCAACAGCATTAAAAAAAAATTTGGACTTTAGACTTCAAATTTTTAGAAGGTCCCATAATTTTAGGTACAATATTAATCCAAAAAAAAATTTAAAGAATAAATTAAATGCCCCAAAAAATTAAGTACAGTCAATACTTTTATTATAATAATATTCATAATATTAGAAACCTAAAAAAAATAAAAAGTATTCAAAGGTTAATTCATATTTATCCTTACCCACCACTCTATCTATGTAAAAATAAGTAAAAAATATTGAAAAAAAAGTTAAAATATCTTTCTCAACAATACTAGTACGTCCTTCTTTTGTCTCTCTCTCAAATAATAAATTAAAAATAAATTAATTTTTTTAAAAAATAATATTAAAAATAAATAGACTTCAAATTTCTTTACTATGACTCCGTGCACCCTGAGTTTAAACCTTAGGACAGTTCTCCACTATGAAAAAATAAAAGGAATGAATAGCCAACCTGCTTTAATTGCATCTGCAGCTGCTTCTTCAGGTGTAGATGTATAATGTTGATTATCATAGAAAACTCCGACCGAATCACAATCCGACACAATGTAGCTGTGGGTCACCATATTGAAAACGGTCATTGAACATTTCATTATTGAACACATTGGCAGAGCCATGGATTCACAGCTTTGCTAATCTTAAAGAGTAAAGAATAAATCCAATAGGATGATCCAATAACTCTGGGTATGAAACTGACCCATTGAGACGCCAAGCACCACGAATGGTATTGCGTAGGAGTTTCGGGTCTGCACAGGCGGGGATGCCATTGACTTGATTGTAGGAGCACATGACACTTGCCACCTTACCTTCCATTACACACTCTCTGAATGGCACATCGAATGTGTCTTCTATATCCTGCTTGCTTACCTGTGAACAAGCGCGCCACACCCTTAACAAAAGAGCTTTGTGTGTAAAAGGTGTAACTTGAGTGGACTCAAATCTAACCCATTACTGGAGTTAGACATTGATAAAGAAATTTGAAAATGATTGAGTTGAACCTCCCATAAATATTTGATTGGACTTTTTACCGTTTTGGTGACCAAACAAACAATTTCATAAAGGCAGAGCCACATTTTGTGTGTTTAAAGTCATCTGTTGATCAAAATATCAATTAAACTACAAAATTATGAGCAAATATATAGACTGTATTAAACATGATTAAAGAGTCTCAAGCTATGATTAACCTAATGCCGCCCAATTATCCATGTAAATTACCAGACATAAACTGGACTTACCTGAGCATTAAAGTGGAATCGATCGACCCCACTCCAATTATCCAAATCGTACGCAGTGTAATGCTTACAACACGCCGCAACCTTCAACCGCTCACCGGCATTTCCCTGTAGACCTTTCACGTAGCTTGCTGCATATTTAGCGGCTAAAATTGGATCTTCACCGGGAGTCTCCTGTCCCCGGCCCCACCTTGGGTCTCGAAATATGTTCACGTTTGGGCTCCAATATGTCAGACCGCCCATCCCTCCGTTATACATTGCTCTCGCTTCATCGGAAACCACCTGCGCCAACATTTATTCATTGGCGTACTTTAATCTCGCCCCTGTTAAAATGCGATACTTGGCCCACACTTTAAGGCAATCATTGTGGGCCAGCCTGCCAGCTATTCTGCTATCTAACAGGCTTTTATTGTAACAGGCGCAGCCTGCCTTCCCATTGGTTTCAAAGATAGAATAAGGTCATTGTACTTTGAACCTTTTCCTTTGGAAAATTATTTACTTTACTTGAAATAATTAGTACACATAATTCTTAACATCATTTAGAAAAGTGATAAACATCAATGCTACTTTATCCGGATCATATGAGTCAATTGGGGCAAAATAATATCAATTGATCATAGACTAAATTTTGCTAAAATACATAGTTATAAATCTGTTGATGTTATTTAATTCCTTTGTGATTATATGAAGGAAGAATCTAACCAGTCCGATTTCCTCCCACAAGGATGCATTGAAAGAAGCGGCGGTGGAGATGACTTGTGGGAAGCTGGTGGCCCCGGGGAAGTCACCACCGAACTTGGTTCCCGGACCCACGTCGGAGACCCCATGAAGAGCCTCCGACCACCATTCGTAACCTCTGATCCCCAGCCTTGGCACATCTGCAGCTTTGTTCACCAACAGCCCTACCTTTTCTTGCAATGTCAACCGTCCTATCAAGTCCCTAACTCTATCAGGTATTGGCAAATTTGTCCGGCAAAATGGGAAGTTCTTTGTCATTGGGTCTCGCGGGTCGCATGCGAACGGTGGACGGGCTTGGACGGGGTGCCAAAACACACTGAGGAAAAGGACAAGTAACAGAAGAGAAAGAGGGTTGGATGGGGTGGTGGCGCAACCCATTTTCCAAAAGAGTGTTCCTGATCTTCTTCTATATGGTATAAGCTAAAGAATGAGATGGAAGGGTATATATATAGTTGAGCTTTATGCTCTACCGGTTGTTATGATGCAAAGAGAACAGCTTTGTGGACTGGATGGCCAGGGCCATTTTGATTTTTAATAACAGCTTCAAGTAAAGGGTTCTTGGGTGGTGGGAGTGGGAGTGGGATACAACTTACAATTTGGTGATCACAACGTCACAGAATGACTTTTTACCGACTGTATAAATACATATTTATGAACTGCAGGTAAAATGTAAAGGTGAAGCATAAATGTACAATGGAGAGTGGGCAAATGAATGCATGATACGTGTCCGTATTTATTAGAACCTACATACAAGATATAATGAGGACAATGAGAATGCTTGTCATGGAACTCTCATGTGAAGAGAAAACATTAATCTTCCAAAATCATGTACTCTCATAGAAACATGAAATTTGTTGGTCCGATGGTTAAAGTCCATATGCAAAGTGGCTAAACGGCCTAAGCCAGCAGCCAATGGCTAAATGTTCTAGGAACGTGAACCCCAAAACACACCTCTCATCTTCTCAAACTTGGAGCATTATGCACGACTGGGTTACATCTTGCAACACTCTCTACTCAACTTGATGAATGTACGGATTGAGATGTGTTATGAATGTGCAGGGCGTTGAATCGTTGAGGAACAAAATAATTAAAAACAAGAACACCAGGTTTACATAAAACCATGAAAAATTTACTCGCATCCACGGATCAACTATTTATCAAAATATCATTGATTTATAACATGTTTATAGCTAGACACCAATTAATAATATTAATCCTTGTTCAATTAGGAAACATTATCTTAGTAACTCTGATACACCCCAATTGTGGTCTCAATAGTATGGCCACATCAATACACGCCAACCACTAGTTCATTAATATTTGTGTCTAGAGGTGAATATGAGTTATTCAGTACTTTCACTTAAATAGATGTCACGTTTTTATTGATTTAATCTCACTATTAGCTATCGAGACCTTGAATAGTACTATACTTTATCAAAAGGTACCATTAGCGATGGATTTTATAACTTTGTTTTATGTTTAAAAGAATATCATAATTTAAAATCAAATGAGCCAAAATAATTCAAATAAATATCCATAATTAATATTTTCTAATATGATATAGCCGTTTCTTTCATCGTATATGCTTGTTCAGGAATGGAGACTTCTTATCCTCGAAGCAAATGCATGTGGCGATAAAGGTGAATCATCATGTGATCATGGGTGATAACGATGAACCTAAGCATTGCATGGGACAGTGTTGATGGGACTATACAAGAAACAGAGGTCGCAGTCGTACCTGATACAAGCTTGGAGTTGTCCTTTGTCACAATGAATTTACGAAAAAGGACTTTTTATATCGTAGCTTCGCTTGGAAGACAGGTTGAACCTGTTGCTCGACGGTGATACCGTATATGATTGCTTTATTTCTTATTTTTGTAATATTACGAATTTTATGCGTGACTCAATTAATTTATTTTTTAGTCTTATTTAAAATAGACAATTTATGTTCGGATTAAAAAATTCATAAAAGATAAATCTTTTATCATATGAACCTAAGGAAATTGAGGGGAGATTGCCTTTTTTTTTTTTTTTATGGTGCCAACAAAAATATCATTTAATTAAGAGGTTACCAGTTTTGGGTTAGGAACAAAACAACCAAATCACAGTTACAGCTAAGTATCCGGCGAATTAAATAGTGATGAAAAGGTCTCAAATCTCATGAAAGCTCAGAACTGACTTGAATAACACGAGCTTCCAAGTCAAATTATATAATTATACTTATACCGGAGATACAGATCATGGTGTTGATGATGGGGGAAATAGACTTAAATGCTGTCAAATTCAGTTGGGTGGAGCGTATGGGCTGTGGAACTGAAATAAATAGATACTATAAATAGTCAAAATAGGCGGGTAATGGGCAAGGATGACAGTGAAAACGGGTCTTTATCCAAATTTATTTTGTTTGGACTGGAGATGAATCATATATATTCGACGATGAACGTATATAAAAATACTTATATAAACTCATACAAAAATAAAGGCGGGCATGAACCGCCCCTTACCCCCTCCCCGCCCCACCCCCTTGATTATCCGTTATATATATGTATTGTAAAATCAATTGGCAAGAAATCATCACATATTGTAGGACTAACACTCTTACTGTGCATCTTAACTGATACAATCAATTGGCAAGAAGTCATCCCATATGGTGGTTCCAACTTCCAAGTTGCACTTTAATTGAAAAAAGATTACAAACAGATTACTTTATAGTTTATTAAATATCCTGTCATAGTAATGGTGATAATTGTTATAAAATAACTAGACGAATAAAGTCTCTTAATTTTTGACTTGATTAAGTTGCTCGTTATGTAATTGAAGAATTGACAAAGAATTTTCTTATGGATTATGATTCCAGTTAGGAGAAGGCTGGAACATGAACAGTTGATGGCTCTAATGGCCCTTTAATAAGTCATATTATGCTTTAATAAACATTGAAGTAATAGCATGGTTTTAGCTCAATGGCCATAACTGGTAGTTCAATGGAGATTAGTCCAATTTGGTAGCTAAATGGAGCTTAGGCTTGGTCTTGGGCGGGTACGAGGAAGCGGGGATGGGGGCGGAAATTAGAAATTTACCTGCGGATGAGAATGATGATGAAAATTATACCTGTTTACAGGAGTGGACTAGGGATAAATATAGTTTTTTTAAGCAGGTACGGAGATGAAGACTACATCTCCCCCCCGCCCTCACTTCGGTCCATTGACATCCTTAATAATAGCCGAATGGGAAAAGAAACTGCCCACTTGCGTTTGAAAAATTCATGATAAAAAATTAGGTTCATAGTTTAAAGAAATAGTCAATACAAACTTACATTCTTATAGAATAAAAAAATATCAAGTTCGATTTTCTTTGGAAATTGGGAAGGTATATATAATTATAATGCGGGTAGGTTATAATTTGATGAAATGTGCTGCTAAATATTTTATACTGGAATGGCTGATGAAATTTTGAAAGCAAAGTATTACACATTTATATCTATCTATACTACTAATAAAAGTACTTTATGATAAAAAAAAATTTGAATTTCTATTTTATCCTTATAAAAGATTATAAAGATCATTCTATTATTTCATAATTAAATATTTATATTACCATCATATTTTTATCTATTTAAATCTCTAAATTATCTATAACATCTTTTTTAATTATCTATTCTCTATACATAAATATAAGTTTCTATAAAACTTTTTAATTGACAATATTATCCTTAAAAAATGCATCAATATATTTTCAATAAAATATTCAAAAAATCTATTTTTTATCTGATATTATTCTTAATCTCATATGAAAGGATAATATTATGACTAAATATGTGTATTTTTTTTTCATCGAAAAGTTATAACTCTTTTATTTCTAATATAAAAAATAATCACATATATAATTTTTTTAAATCAATTTATTTTACATCAGTATAATTCTTCAGTCACAATAAACTCTCTAAATTATATTAGAATTTTATGTAAAAATAGATATTGTATTGTATTTTTAAGTAAAATTTGAGTTTCTTAGAATTTTAATATAGTTGGTAATATATATTATATAGTAGTATATTAAATATTATCTTAATTGATTTAATTAATTCCTAATTACAGTAAGGTTTAAATGTGATTAGCATATTGACAATTAATTTTGTTTTATTCAAGGAATTATAACTGAAATCGTAATCAAATGAATTTAAACAAATTTTATTTTTCAAACATCACTAAAAAAATCAATTTCAATCACAAAATTCTAAAAATATAGGACTTTAACTATTTTTTTTTCTTTTTTTTTAAATTGTTAGAACAAAAAATTTTAGAAACATATAAAGTTTTTCATAATCTTATAATAGAATATAAATAATAAAAAATTAAATATAATAAATTTAAAATGATATTTATTTCAAATACATATTACCTTAAATGTTTTATTAATTTTTATATACAAATTTTTTTGGTGCATTAGTAATATTAATAAAAGGTGCTAAAGAAAGTTTCTTATCAGCACTACTCTTGAATTTAAAAAAAAAAATAGCTGTTCAGCAGCCTAGGGTTTTGACTTTTGAGCAAGGAGGAGGGAGGGGTATGGAATGATATGATGCTGCTTTCCTATCAAGTAATGTAGTGCGTGTCTGGTATCTAGAAACGGCCCCATACTTGTCATTTCACATGATGAGAATCACCATACATATTGATTATGGTCATCTTCACTTAATGGCTAAGGGGCCCTCCCAGGAAGCACATTAATTATCGTTATTTGTAATTTTGCCTGATCAGATTATATATAGTTTGAGTTCGGTACAAATTGGTACATTGCATCATAGCTTTTCTTTAGTCCTAACTAATATCATAAAAACCGATACTACCAAACACGACCTATTATCCATTCTTAATCATCATTAATTAGTTAGGTATTCAAATGATCTCTTTTCTTAACCTTTGTGCAATTGCTGTCGCTTTGTGGGACCAATTCAAACCAAGCATCCAATTTTTTCGATTACTCGGTACTTGCTTGCTGCGCTTCGGAGAAGTACACTGTTGTTTAATTCTCTTGTACATGTGCTTCGTAGGAGCAGGTTGTGCTAGCTTTTATAAATGGTTGAACCAATCTGACTGACTGGATCGTTGGTTGATTAGGTCAACTATAGATGACTCCTATTACTGCGACTTTCGTTAGGAACTAAAATAAAATAAAATAAAAACAAATGATAATCAGATGGTCGGGGGTAGTGGACAAACTTCTCTAATTTTTTTACCATAACTGATTCCGGTAAATTTTCTAATGGAAGTATACCAATTACCCAAGAAGTTCTAAAGTCAAGTTGAAATGCTCAAATTGGCACAAGCGCTCCAGTTGTGTGGGAGTAATTTAGAACAATCACAAATTCAAACATAATGTTTGACTTTCGTGAAAATTCTTGGATTTAACCCTCGGCAAGTTATCCACTTTTACATTGCAGCGATTAATAATCATATTTTAGAGACGTTTTTTTATTAAAAAAACAAAAAATAATAAGTCTAAATGGATTAACATTTCACTCGCACGCATATCATGATCACTCAGAATTTCAGCAACCAAAGAGGATACATAACACAATACGTAATTACACTGCATATCACTACAGTTCTTTCATGCACTGCCCACATGGCGGCATCTCTAGCTAGACTCAATAACCACCTTGCTCATTAGGAACACATTCTTTCTCTCTCCATCATGGTTGCAAGACCACATGTTCAAAACAACCAGTGAGGGACCTTTGTCTTCACTTTCTTCTCCTTAATTGTATCTAAACTTGGCTTCCACCCCTTCCCTGAGAATTGCCTGCTCAAATACTCCGGCGTCCCACCCACAATTTCATCGAAAACTTCTTGTTTGGAGGTCTCCTCTGACTTCTCCGCCAATTTTTCTTTCCGATGCAGCACAAACTGATCCTGTCCCTCTCCGGCGCTTGCTGGGCATATCCTTGCAAACAGTGGGAGAAATCCTGATGCAGACAAAAGGGATTTGGTCTTTAAAACTGAATTTGCCCTTAAAAGAATTCGACGAGCTTCTCCAGATGACAATAGTACTGCTGGCTTGCCTCTCTTCATTGGAAGCATGAGGTACACCTTGTTGGTCTCCAGCTTATTATCGGCAGGCAATGGACATGGCTTTTTTCCATTCAAAACTGATTGGATTTCAACCACAGCCTCTTGCGGGTACTCTAACATCAGCTCTGCAACCGTTAAAGGTTTGTCATACCGGTGAACTGTTCCGTTCGAAAGAATGACTTTCCCACTTCCTTCTAACCGGCAGAATGAGATGTGATTGCCCATATGAGAGAAAGAGAAAGAGAGAGAGAGAGAGAGAGAGATGTTTGGGGAGGTCTGAATGTGAGTTGAGTAAAAGCATGCGTTTTGTGGCAATATATTAAGATGGAGATCTAGAGTGAGGGAGGGACTGTGTTCGTTAAACCGCTCCATCTTGTGATAGGTATAATGGTGGTGGACTTGGTAATAACTAATGAGAATGTCACTGAGGGTTGGGGTGGTTGTGTTTGTGATGTGTTCAGTTCAACTCTTTGACCTGCTCCTCCTCGGATGCGGTACTTAATCAACTGTAATAACTTTGCAAAATGACAAGTGGAAATTTGAGCGGTTGGGGTTGTACTTAATAAAAACTCTTTTGGATAATGGCGGGCTCTTAAAAGTCCTACCATACCAAAAATGAAGAGAAATCAATAGAGTAGTAGGAACCTTTCAACAAATATTAACTGATTATTTTAATGTACTACTATACTGTTAGCAGTTAACTTGGACAGGTGCAACCATGTGCATGTTTCCAAAATGAGTAATTGTTTTCAGATCAAATTCTATTCTAATATATGACGTGACTCACAATAAATTTATTTAAAAATATTACTGAATTAAGTTAAGCCATAAATTTGATTAATAAATTAAGTTGTAATAGTATTGTTCTTCCAAAATTAATATTGATAAAAATAATGGCATGTTTGGAGCTAACGTAAGTAAATAGATAGTTTTTAAAGATTTTAGAATAAAATAAGTCAGGTCTATTTGGACCTTGATTTTTTTTTGACCAGTTTATCCAATAGATTTTTGGACTCAAAAATAATTTTTTAGATTGATTCAAGAAATTAATTTTATGAAATTTTCTTTCTTTTTTTTTTGGAGTTTTATCGTGGGTTTCACATAATTTTTTAGGTTATTATATTCATAAAAAATTATTAGTGATATAAAAAAAATTTAAATTCATATTTTGAGAATTATTATGCATAATCTATACATACATATAATTAATTTTTTTATTTTTACACAATCAAATTTTTTTAATTTTTTTGAAGACCACCCTAAACGATTTTACAGAATTTTTTTAACAAAGTTTTTCAAATCTCAATTTTTTACTTTAAAAACACAAGCTCCCAAAAGGCTAATGATACTAATTTTTACGACTTTAGATGAGATGTTACCTTGACATTAGGAAGAAAGGGGTGTGTGTGATCATCTGGACCATCTGGTTCAATTTCTATAGGCAGCTAGTAGCCAAGGGTGTTCATGGCCGGGCAGTGTTAGACCCGTGAATTTTTTTTTAGTTGGGCTTAAATAGTGTAGTTTCAAGTTCTTATCCAAATGAGTTATTAGGCGGGTCCGGCTGAATTTTGGGTGAGAGTAGACTATCCGTAGTCCACTTCACGAACTTATTAGGCAAGTCTGTCGGGGGCTTTTTTATATACAATTTTATTAAAAAATAATCAATATTTTTGTAATTTAAAATTTGTATAAATTATATTTTTTAATTAAAAGTAGAATAAAAATAAAATAATAAATATTTTTATTTTTGTTTGGGGATAAACTATATCCAATAGAATGAATATATTTCAACAAGGAGAAAATATTCATTACAACGGTACTCACTTATCTATCATTTGCATTAGTCTATCATTTAAAACTTGTATACTTAATACATTATTTACAATATTTAAATTTTTAAAATTTTAAATTCTGACGTTAAGAGATTTATTTAATAGTCTAAAAATATAATTTTTTTTCAAAAGAATGGTGGGTGGGCGGTGTAGGCAGGCTCTTGAGTTGGGTTTTAACGGATTTTTTAGATAACGCTATTCGGGCGGGCTTTGGACCGAATAATAAATTTGAGAATAAATCCAAACCCGTTTTTTAAAGATGTTAGACTTGGACTTGGGTTAGCCAAATATCATGTCTATCGAATTTCAAACTTATTTTTTTTTAGACTGAATAATAAAACCCATGAATAACCTGACCCAAAAACACTACCTAAGTACTTTCTACCAAACAAAAAAACAAAACGCTGCTCCAAAGTGCACCAGAGACTGGGATGTGGAGAAGGAGCATGAAATGCACGTCATAATAGTGAGAAATGTAGCGCGTTGATTAGATTTTCTTTGTCAATTATGGCTGGTAGCAAAATGATGTGATGACTTATTTTTTTTTTTTGGGAAAATTTTAATCACATTTCCTCTAATTTAATATATCTTCAAAGACATTCCTTTTAATTTTTGAATCTTTAATGACATCCCTTCTAGTTTAATTTAAACATCACTAACACTCCCTATCATTAAACTACCATTTCTAACCAAAAAAAATTCATCTAAAATATTAAAAATGCCCCTATATAATCTCAAGTAATTTTTCTACATAAAATTTTATTAAAATTCGAGCTGTTAAAATTTTAAAAAAAATTCGTGAATAATAATTTTAGTAAATAATTTGTTAGTAAATACTAATTTGTTATTTACTAATTTCTAGCCTATTAAAATTTGAGCTAATTTGAACTCTACCCGAATTGTTAGTGCCGATTAAAATGTTCTTTCGAGTTGATTAAATTTTTTTTTACTTATTAAAATTCGATTTATTAAAATTTAAGTCAATTAAAACTCATATATTTTTATATATTAAAATTTGGACTGATTAAAATTCAATTCGAATTGATTAAAATTTGATTTGAGTCGATTAAAAATAATTTTTAATTGGCTCAAATAAAATTTTAATACGTAAAAAAAATATAATTTTTAATTGACACAAATTTTAATATGTAAATAAATAAATTTTAATTAGCTTGAATCGAGTTTTAATCGGTTCGAATTTAATAATGTAAAAAAAATTAGAAGACAGAGGAGTCTTACTGAAAATATACTTATTTAGAAGGGGTGTGAATGAAGTTTGCTCTCAAATATATCATAGGTAATTTAGTAAAATTACATTCTACTAATATTTTTAATCTTACAGGGGTGTTATTAAAAATTTAAAAATTAGAGGGATATTTTTGAAGATATGATAAACTAGAGGACATGTGGTTAAAATTTTTCCTTTTTTTGAAAAATAACTATTGCATAATAATCAGAGGTTATATCAGTAGGTTGAATCTATATATATGTACAAGTTCATGTGAGAGTTTCTGTGGTCCCACATTGCGTGGCATTATCTGGAATATTACATCAACATATGAGAAAGATACGTTTCTCAAACTCCTTCCACAATAGGATCAAGAGCGGGTCTCCACTGTCTCAGCCGGTAACAAGGTAAACCGGTGTCATCCCCTCCCATAAACCGAATCGGATCGCCAGATTCTTCACACGTCTCATCGACTTCCTGAGGAGTCACATCCGGCAAAATCTTTGAACCACGTCGTTTCGCCCTTCTTTTCTCACAAACAGACTCCACGAGCTTCATTTCCGATTCCGACAGCAAACGGTGAACCCTATTTGTGGAGACCAACATATAGAGCTTTCCAGCTAAAAGATCTTCGTCGGCTTTCATGGCCTCAAACCGACGAGTTCTCCGGAGATTCTCCACCGGACAAATGACGTGGCCTGGTTCTTCGAGCATCAACTCGGCGGCAGTTATTGGAACCTTAAAATGGCGTAGGTTTCCGTGAACGTGGATGAGCTTCGCCGTCTTGGGCTTGGGCTTGGGCTCCAAATAGAAACACGAGGTGCAATTTCCCATACCAAATTTGTATGTTTTGGTTTCTGAGTTCCTGTTTTCTTGAGATAAGTACGAGGATTGCAGAGAGAATAGAGAGAGAGAATTGTGAGGATGGATGGAGTGAGTGGAGTTGGGGTGAGTATATGTAGTGCAGAGAGTGTCGACCAGAAGCGTGTTGGACTTGATTTGAGGTAGACGGAGTTGTGTGTAAAAATTAGGATAGCGTCAAGACTCGAGAAAGAATCCATTGCCTGCCCTTTCAATGCGTTCGCCGACGTGGTCTATACGCTGGTTTACTTTTACTCTAGTTTTAACGCGTGTGGTGGGGTCCCCATGGTTGATGTGTCCCCTGGACAGGACAGGACAGGACAGGACTAGTCCAGTCTATTGGCTTCCATTAGGAATCCAATTTGGTAAGATCCAATTATACTGCGCAAATGAATGTTTTTAAGATCCCATTTACACCTCCCCTCCCAATAGTCTATTGGATTGTAACGATCGTCCCACCTCCCAATAGTCTTTTTCTACAATATCTCGTCAAACAATAATTGAATAATTCCTACGTTCCTTAGGTGCCTCATAAATTTACATATTATGCCAAACAGAAAAGGTTAAAGAATTAGGTTACTGTCTTTGCAATTTGTATTGTATTAGAGATATAATAATATTAGTCATTTTTTATTCATACATATTCCAATTTTTATTTTTAAAATTATTTATGGCCTACTTAATAATTTTATGAAAATTTTAATTATTAATAATTTTTATAATTGTCATTATTAGATGCAATAGACGATTTTAGATCCCATGATGAATAAGAGTTTCACAACAAAAATTTTAATTCTTTGTGATTTTAGAATCGTGATTGAAATAAATACTATTACCTAAATAAAAGCTGAACATTCATATGTTTATAACTGTAACTTTAATAAAAACTTGACATTAATTATAAAAAAAAAAAAAGTAAATTAACTTATATAAAAAGGGTTGTCAACTGATACACTCTCAAAGAACATAAATTTGAATTAAATAATAGTTGATAGATAACAAGAAGAATGCTAGGGTTTTAGTAACTAAACATTAAGAATAAAATTAGAATATGCCTTCAATGAATTAATACACTTGAGAAAGTTTTTTTTTTTTAATTCTTCTGGTATTCTTAAGAATCAATAGAGTTAATGAAGTTTTTAGGGGGATATTCTTTGTGAATCAGCCAGCCTAAAGAAAGAATCTAAACTAAACTGATATTTGTGTCCATATCAACAATTTGTTTTCATTCTCCTTTTTAGTATATTATATCATTATTTTTTTCGGTTTCCCTGCATCGCAATTTCTAAGAAACAGACAAAAATGGAGTAGGTATTTATTCAAGTCTGACAATTGACAAGAGAAAGAACAAACACGAATCAACAATTTGTTTTCATTCTCCTTTTTCGTATATTATATCATTATTTTTTTTGGTTTCCCTGCATCACAATTTCTAAGAAACAGACAAAAATGTTCAAGTCCGGCTATTGACAAGAGAAAGAACAAACATGAGTTTTTATTTTTTATTTTTTTGTGATTTTAATTTGGTGTTTTCGAGAACTAACCCTTTTCTTTTCTGTAGTAAATAATTATTGAGATAAATCTTTGGAGGACGCACTAAAATAGATTTAATTTCATGGTCTTCTTCAACAAAATATTTGAACTATAAAGCAGTGAGGTGAAAGTGGAAGGCCAATAACAATTTGTTAAGATGATGGGATTTATTATCATGAATTCAATAAAACCTATTAAAATGGTTTTGACATAAGGGGTGTAGACCTAAGGATTAACTTCTCGATTCTCATTTTCAAGAGTTAGAAAATTAGTAATTGAACACGATTATCATTGATAATTGAAAGAAAAAATATAGAGAAAGAGTAGTTGAACAACCCTCGGTGGCCTGTTCGTTCCTCAGTTAAGGTATTTAATTAATTTACCTCTAGCATCATTAATGTTTTTTGGTGTATCCTTTTAATCTATGACAATAAGTTCATGTTAGGCAACCAAGAGGAATTCCTCAAATGTAGGAGGAGTAAATATTAAATGCAATGGTGATACCATATCACCATTGATATCATGATATTACCAATCAATAATCAAATCTCAAGTGGGTAAGATAAACTCCATTTGTATTTATATAAATAAAGAGTGAGAAGTTATTTGTTTACATGACAAGTTGCTTATTATTATTTTTTGTAAAATCTATTTGTTTATTTTAAATTTTATTATTAATTGGTGGTATCACATTTCATTGTCATGTGATATCACCGTAGTAATGAATTTTTTCTCCAAATGTAGGCCCACGTATACGCATCATATAAAGAACCCTATGCTTATGTTTATCAAATTTTCTTACTAAACTTTTATTTCAAATAATGTGACACAATTTTGACCATCAGATAAATGGATATTAATATTCAATGATAAGGATTGTATCACGTCATTTGGAATGAAAGTTCGGTAAGTATATATAAAAAAGAAGATGTTATGTTTAATCATCAATATTTATATTACTTACAAATGTCGGCATATGTAAATTTTTTTTAATTTTCTATTTTATTCTTAATTTTTATTATAAAATCAATGATAATCATATATTAGTTTCCTCTAATTTTTATTTTTTATACCTATTTGATTTCTAAGTTCTTCTGAACTCTTTTATTAATAGTATTTGACTTTTACATTCTATATTATTTTTATTCAATTTTTAATCTCTATACATATTTAACTTTTTAGTTCTTTCAAACTTTTTTTATTAATTGTATATGATTTTTAAATTTTATTACTCTATAGTCCTATATATGTTATAGTTGATTTTTTGGTATACAATAATGTCCTATTATTACAATAGAAACAATAGTATTTCAACTTAATCAATTTCCTTGATAAACATATAATAAATTTGTATTTTAATTAGATGCGCAAATACTCAATAAGGACAATCTTACAATAAAGATTCATTATTAATAAAAAAAAAAAAAAGGAAATATCTAATAGGTCAGAGAGATACCTAAACAAATAATAAATTAGATACTTGAAGAGGGATATAATAGATCAAAAATTAGGTTTGATAATTATTAAAACAAAAATTAATTAAAATTATATAAATTATTATTCAATTTAATTATATATATATATAATTTAAATATTTTATAATAAATATATATTCACGTGCAACGCACCTCATGCGTTGCTAGTTTATTAAAGTTGTGGATTTTGAACGAGAGCAATGTTATTGGGATCTAAATAATTAACTTAATTTGCAGACCTAATTCAATATAGTCTTTGGATTGACCATAGATCCCATCAAACATAAGAATTCAGTTATAATAAAATCACATCATTAAGTCACATTTATAGATCTAAATAACATTACTCTATGCAGGCAGAGGTTCCACGGCGGTTGTAGTCTGTTTTGGAGAAGATTAGATGTTTGTTTGGCACTTTGCAGGGGCAAATTAAGCACATATACAGACAAGCTAATGGAGTTGTTGATTTTTTGGCATCCTTTGCTGTTCAGACTGGGAGATATACTGACTATTCCACTTGCTAGGAGGTTGCTTTTGCAGAAGGATCAGAGTTTGCTGCCTTCAACAAGATTGAAGAAGGTCGTTTTTAGGTTGCAGACCGTGGTGGAGTTCATGACTGGAGTAGGGGTTGATTGACAGTATTAAGTTTGAAGAAGAAGTAGTGAAAACAGAGGAGAGAAAAATGATCTTGTTTTTTCTTCATATTGTAAATGTTTACATCACAAATTATTTATATTCATGCCCGATTCTAGTTAATTAAATATCTAACTAATACTATCATCTTGACAATTAATTAAGCTAACAAACTCCTAACTACCTCAAGATTATATGTGTTTCTGTACTGAATCCATCGGACAATGGTTTGGAGAAAATATGCGAGAAGAAGATACTTTTGAAGCAAATGTGGACCTTTCGAGATCTTAACCAGGAACTACAAGTGAATCAACGGCCAACACTCACAAAGCTTAGGTACCATGTAAATGGCTGGTCAACACTGGTGATCCTGATATGTCAAGCGTAGTAACCTTACAAACAATAAGAATCAAACATGATGTCTCCAAGGTTGGGTCAAAAATTAAGTGCTAGGCTAATCTGGATCGTAGAGTAGAGTTTCAATTGGAGTTTTTCGTCAATACACAACTTAAAAGATAAGTTTAGGGTACCCATTTTTTTTTTTAAATTTTTGGTACTGTACTATTGATTACTTGTTTTTAAGGTCAATTTATAAAATTTAGAGCTTAAGTTACAGCTTTTTAGGGATGTAACGATCGATCCTATAACCGATTTTGTTTTGTTGTAATTAAACTCCCAAAATTCATATCTTCACTTGCAAACTTTGTCAATTTCACCTACAAAAATTATAACATTAAGAAAATTGATAAAATCAAATAAAATATTATTCAAATTGATACAGAATAAATGACAAGAATTTTGATATTTTATTTGAATGTGGTTAATGTCATTCAATTAGAAAAATTTAGGATATTTTATTTTATTTTCTAATTTAATTAGGAAACTATTTTATTTTATTTTATTTATTGGTTTTGTTAGGATTTCAGTTTATTTAATTTTCTAAATTAATTAGGATTATAATTTCTCAGTTGGTTTAGGGTTTATGCTTAAGTATTATTTTTTTCCTACAAACATTCGTTAAGTTCTATTATTTTTGTTTTATATCAATGAAGTCCCAAATTTTAAAAAGACTATATTTTGTTCTAATTCTATCATTTTCTTGACAAATATTGACACTTGGGTTCGTTTGGTTACTGTATTAAACATGAATGTGTTGGATAAAGTAATGCAGTTGAATACAATACAGATAAACAAAAGACAATACTAAATACTATATTAGAATAATAAGTAATTTTATCTAGTATTTGACAATATACAACATAAGCGTTGGATAATAATTATTTAATCTGTTTGGTTATAAAATTATTTCATCGTATTAATGTTAAATTAACA